AAATTTTACTCCCAGCTTTAATTAAAGAAGCTTCTCTTTACAATGAATGGCAGTGAACTTAGAGGTGCATGGCTGTTCAAATGTAAGCAACACATTTATACCACCCCCTCTAAGGCCCAGGGATCAGTGGTTAAGAGCACTGGCTGTTCTCCCAGAGGACCTGGGTTCAGTTCCCAGCACCAACTGGCAGCTAACAACCATCCTTACATCCAGTTCCAGGACCTCCATGGGCATTGTACTCAGGGGTGCACTTAAATACATGCATGCAGGTAAAACACTCAGGCACATAAAATAAAAATATTTGAAAAGTAAATTATTGAACTTGTTTTTTATTTTACAAGAGACTACAGTTAAAAGACTGGATATTTTAAAGAGACTTCAAACTGTTAAAGCATTTGAATATTTTAAGGATTGTGGGACTTTTAAAGTACAATGTTTTATATTATATTAACATGAGTTCTTGGGGATAAACAAGGAAAGATAAGGTTAGGGCTTAATAGCAACAGGCTCATGTGTCAAGCTGACAAGGGATCAACTCTGCTGGTTGTTTTTTGTCACCTTGATATAAACTAGAGACTCCTGCGAAGAGGAAACCTCACTTGAGGAATTTCCTTCATTAAATTGACTTGGGGGTGTGTCTAAAGATCATTTTCTTGATTGCGAATTGATGTAGGGGAGTACAGTCCACTGCAGATGGTATCCCTAGGCAGGCGAGTCTGGGCTATATAAGAATTGTAGTTGAACAAGCTAAGGTTCCTCTGTGATCTCTGTTTCTGTTCCTGCCTTGTCTTCTTTTGATGATAGACTATAACTTGTAAACTAAATAAATCATTTCTTCCTCCAACTTGTTTTTAGTTAATGTTTTATCACAGCAACAGAAAACTAATACAGAACCAATTCTGAGTCACTGTCCATCCACTACCAGATTTTCAGACTGGAGGTCACAAACACCAAACCTCATTACAGTGTACTTTCCATTTCCTCTCCTCTCAGCCTAAAGATGTGCCACATATTAGTACCACCCTAGAGTGAGCTGGATCCCGTTGGTTAAGTCAAAAAACAAAGGGACAAGGTTTCCTGACAAAGCAAAGGGGGACCAAGAAAGGTCTGTGGCCAGTATGGGAACGTGCTAAGCATGTGTGCCAGGGAACCATTTGGTAGACCCCACCTCCAATAACATCAGCAAGAACATCACTCATCTCAAAAAAAAAAAAAAAAAAAAAAAAAAAATCTGAGATTACAGTTCTCAAAGTCTGAGTCACCTGGCTTCCAGTTTTTCATCCATACGAACCTTGTCCTCAAGTGTCACAACTACTGGCCTTTCCCTGATTATTAAAAAATATTACTGCCAGGCATGGCGGTGCATGCCTTTAATCCCAGGCAGAGGCAGGCAGATATCTGTGAGTTCAAGGCCAGTCTGGTCTACATAGTGAGTTCCAGGAGAGCTGGGGCTACAGGGAAACCCTGTCTCAAAAAGACCAAAAAAAAAAAAGAAAAAAAAGAAAAAAAAATTACCATTTGCTGATTTCTGACATAGTAATTCAAAAGATGCTTGTTTTTACAATACAGGACTGTGGATCTGTTCTTGTGGTTATATATATGCTGTGTACTCCAAATCAACTCTACCCGAATCTGACAATGTCTATGCAAGTTTTCTTCATGACACAATCTCACAGCCCTTACTGAATATGGATGAGACATCTGGGAAGTGGGTAAGAACTGGGAACAAAGAATTTCAGGGTACCTCCATGTTTGCTCCTTCTCTGAGTGTAAGGTTCTTGATTCTTCCTTTAAAAATATTTATGACACAGATACACTTACCTACATGCAGGCATAACACTCATACACATAAAATAAAAATAATAAATAAAATTTTAAAAAATATTGTTAGACAACAAAAAGTTTAAAACATTAGAAACAATCCAATGTCCATAACTTGTATTTGTATTAGCTTTGAAGAAAAAGAAATATAAAGCATTAGCTAAAAGCAAATTAAAGTTCTTGCATTTTGCTTTAGTTTAGACTCAGTCGTCTATTTTAACCACAAGGTGGAGCTATGATGTCACAATTTGGAAATGTTTATAAAGCATGTAAACCCAGAAAAAAACAATTTAATGTGGTGCAAGAGGATAACTTAATTTTGTAAATATACACTATTTTCAATTAACCAATTATCCACCATTAATGGTTAGCACGAGACAAACATGTTCAGCTGTCCCCATGCTCCCTGGAAGTTACTGAGCTCCGTCAACACAAAATCATCCTGAGTTGCTGCACAACGGCACAACTTTTGATATCCCAAGAGCACCTGCTTCAGTGTCAAAATTAGCTGTGTTTTTAAACACTGTAAAAATGTCCTTACAAGTGATTTTTAAAGAATTACTGTGCAGTTAGCAAGTACCACAAATTTGCATGAAACTTTCCCATGCCTTAATTCTGTTCTGATACTGTAACCTACTTTAGAATGATGCCTTAAAATGACTGCCTTTATGGTGTATTACTTTAATTTTATGAGTTATTTTGGATTATTGTATAGGCAGAAATTCCTTACTTTCAAAGACTATGGATATTCAGGTTTTTAGTCAATTACTTTTCAGTAAAGAGAGAACAATAAACTCACCAATTTCTTGATATACTAAATAAACAACGAATATGAACACTATAAATCTGTCAGCAATAAAATCACTCTCACAACTGAATGCAGGGCTTTGCACATGCTAGGTAAGAGGCCCTCTGCTGGGCTCCATGCTCAGCCCACTCTTCATATATTGCATTTTTAAAGCATGCTTACATGTATTTTTCTACTCCTTAATTTTAATCCAAACTTCATCACCTTTATATGCTTATGTGTGCACATGCACACACACACACAAAGGTTTATACACGTCCTACTATTTTTCTCTCCAATGCCTTTTTCTTAATAGCAACCCCAAGTCTATGCTTGCCATTTTCAAAAGGAGCACAGGAAAACAGTGTTGACAAAGCCTGCTTTCATGGTGCCTTAAATAACTAAATTTTCCAGAAACAGTCAGCATCTAGTGAGAGGGAGTTATTTACACAGATGGACTCTCAACTGTGAATAGAACATTTAAATTCCATTAGTCTTTTCTGCAGTTTAAAGAGATCTGTTGTATAAATGGTTCCATACTCGAAATGAACGACATGTCCCCACACCACCATATAAGATGTTCTTTATGACTTAGTAAGCAGTAATTAGTAAGTATATATTCAGATAAGAAAACAGGAGCGGATACATATTGTCACTGAGTAGACACTCAATACATGCATGTATTGTTTTCTATAGTTTTACTCCATAAGTTACCAATATAGATAAATTAGTGATTTTCAAAGGTGAAGCAGATTGGAAATAAAATACTAGACAGTAAGAATTTATTCTGGGGGACAATATTCATATTGGTTTAAGTTAGCAGAAGCAGAAGCTGGAGACGTAGCTTGGTGGGGGAGTGCTCCACATTCAGAAGGTTCTGGGATCCAGCTCAGCACAAAAGGAAGGAGGGAGGGAAAAGAAAGCAGGGAAGAGAGAGAGGGAAAGAACTTTGAAAACACCATCATGAGCATTTAGAAGCCCTTCCCATGCACACGTGGTTACTACTGATAGCAATATATTTTCATTTATTCAAATACTAGGTAAGAGCCTGACTGCTAATTAGCTAGTTGTGTGAATCCCTCCTTTTTTCTTTTTCTTCAACAATACCAAATGCCCCTACATAGTAAGTTTTCAGAACAAAGACACAAAAACGCATCAAATCCCTTTATTCTTCCAAGATCTACCGTCATTATTCCGTTCCTTCTATTACATTTTCTGCACACACACACGTACACACGCACGCATGTTTTTTCTTTTTCTTCAACAATACCAAATGCCCCTACATAGTAAGTTTTCAGTACCAAAGACACAAAAACGCATCAAATCCCTTTATTCTTCCAAGATGTACCGTCATTATTCCGTTCCTTCTATTACATTTTCTGCACACACACACACACACACGCACACACACGTACACACGCACGCATGCACACGAGCTCTATTTTTAACATAATTGGTATTCTGTGCTAATGTGTGTTTTCCTCCTGTGCATCTCCTGTAGGATAGCTAGCACTTTAGAAATCTACAAAATGAACACGAATGAAGCAGGCTGAGACGCAGCTCTGGAAAGGGCCTCCAGGAGGGTGTTCTGGCAGTTTTCTTCACTCATTCAAGCCTACATTTTTTCCATCTTTTATTTTTTACGAGCTTCTCATTTTCTTAGACTAATTATGATTCTAAGACACACGTTATGGTGTTTCATGAAATATGAGATGAAAAGAGAAAATTTCCTAAGTCAGTTGCCTGGATTCTGTTTCTGGAAACACGGCGGCTGTGATATAGGTGCAGCCCACGCACTGACACAGAGGAGCCGAGGAGCTCACGCCTGCGCCCCCTCTGAACTGTGCGGTGGGGCACCCGCCTGCTTACAGGAAGAACTCCGCTTGCTTTAGTTTGCTGTGACTGGATGATACCAACACCAGACCCGATCTACAGGTTGTGAATGCTCCACCCGAAGCACAAATTAACTCACGAATCATTGTGAAAACGTTTCTCGGTCTAGCTGAGCTGCTTCGGTAGTCAGGGCCGCCAAGGAAAAGGATGACAACAACCCAACTTCCTTCCTAAGTGATAGTAAGGAGCACCACATCCTCATCACTTGGGACGGAGCCTGGGCAGTGACAGAGAGGGGAAGCTACCACTAATCACATACATATGTTAAATAAATGCGTGTGTGGCCTCTATTTGAGCACTTTTACAATGAGTTAGATCAAATCCCTACCTAGTAAGAGTAGAGACATGTAATTAAATTTAAAATTCAGTTAATGGTTTTGATATTTCAATATTAACCCTTCAAGCACAACGAAGACTTGCAGCTTTCCTATCTAGGTGTGCTTTCACACTAGTCCACTTCTAATGATTAAACGACCAGTTACACAGGAAACCACAAGGCTGTATTTTAAATTCTTTTATTTTTCAACATTTTCTAACACACAGCGTTAGAAAAATGGATTTTTGGCACCATGAATAAGAACGTCTTTTCAAGTTTAACTTTTAAAGACAGTAGCTATTAAAAAGATATTTAAACCTCATTCAGAGAAATATTTAAAAATGAAATAAATTTTTTGTTGCAGGATTTTTAAAAACTAGGACAGAGGAAAAGGAACAAAGAGTCTAGGATGATAAATTAGATTACGCTGGGGAAAAAGCAGCACATAATGCCTCCCCTCCCCCAAGAAAGTAGGAAAGCAGCAAGGGTCAAAGGTAAGAAACAAGGCTTAATGACTTTATCTTCCTGATATAAAACTCAAGTACTCGAAAAGAATTTTTTTTTAAAATCAAAAAATATACCAGTAATCTAATGAAAATTTCCTTTTTTCTCATTTTTCTATAGTTAGAAAAAACAGTGAAATGAAGAAAAACCTTCTGTTCAATTTAAGGCGCTAGAATTTGACACGAAGCACTTTGCAAAGCGGAAAGGCACTTGGGTGTCCAAGAAAGCACCCACCTCCATCTACAGGGAGCTTCTCCAAAGGGACAGGGATCTAATTCTAATACCAACGCAGAACGATTTACCTCTATGCTAAAAATATTTCCAGTGGCTATCCTCCCACTGACTGTGTTTGCACCAACATTCCTGAGGAAAAACTTTGCATATTGTCTTTGGGTTCCTAACTACTGAGAAACAGGCTATACAGGAGTTCAAAAATTATTTAATAATTACATGTAAATTCAGTTAAGAGTCAGAGCTCCAGGTTTCAAAGCTTGCTGATTTTCACTTTTATCCACGTGTCTATAGGTCCCCCAATGCTGACAAACACAATTCTTCCCAGGTTTTTCTTAAATAAGAAAGTATTATTGGGCTTATTTGTCACTTATGCATATGTACCTGAATATTTTATAAACATGAAACACAAATTCAAACTGTCATTATTTTCAGAGACAGTAAAGCACAGAAATAAATACTGATTTTTACTTTTTTTCTTTCTTTTCTTCTTCAACCTGGTCTTAAGGCTCAGAGCAGACATTAAGAAACATCAAACAATTTTTCTCTGTAAAAGTTTTTCAAATGTTTGGCCTACAGTGAAGTTGTTCTGTTGACATTATCTAAATATTCCTCTCATCTTCTCAAGTACAACTTCAAAGACCTGTTCACGCCAGTCGTCCATCTCAAAGGAAAACTCAGTTCAGTGGAAAGTCAATAAGTTAGGGATCTATAAACGATACTGCAATGTATCTTGTTCCATTTTTAACTGGAAGTCCTTCATGCAGATGCGTGAGCCTCCCGGGATGCATGAAGCTCCAGCCTTTGCGTGGGGATTCAATGGAGCAATTGTACCTTAGAAATTTGCATCCGCCTCCCTAAAAAAGTTAGACACAAATATATCAGCTTATTATTTTAATTTTAAATCTGTGGCAAGATTCAAATCACGCCATCCAAGCAGAAACTTAATAGGAAACCAAGAATGAGCCCTTTCCAGAATTCCATAGTTCTTGGAAAATATAAAAACGTTTGTCATAATTACCTGAAAATCTTCTCCCACATTATTGAGAGCAATGTTTATAGTAAACGTGGAGGCGTCATGATGGGGGCGGAGAGAGCGCTGTCTTTCAGGGGAGTACTTTACTACAAAATTCAGCAGAGCAAATCCCTAGAAAAGTGAAGCGAGCCAGTAAATTTGTTTAACACTGAATATTAAAAAGCGTATTATATAGAAATGGGTAGGGAGTAGGCAGCAGTGGGCGGGCGACTACCTTTGTATAATAGCCTGCGAAGACCTTCAGGGTAACAGGTGCAATGAATTCACGGATGAAATGAAGCCACACATTCTCCAGGTCAATTTGCTTCATGTGAATATCATCAGTTGGGACATTTTCATAACCTCCAGATATGCGGCTATCCTGAAAGTAGCATTAACACATCGAGAAGTGCAGTCTGTAAGCAATTTAGACTGATAATATCTTGGTCTTTTTCTAACCACAGGTCAGAATGTATAATAAAATTAACAGTGGTTAGATTATGGTATGCCATCTGCTTTAATTTCCAACGTGATCAAAATTCCTTACATAGCACAGTTTTGCAAAAGTATCAGTGGTGAGGGTCAGAAGAGCCTTACCAGCTCATCAAAGGTATGTATGAGGTTTCTCTACACAAATCAATAAAATGGACTCCCATTTCTTTGACAATCACTCTCAGGGCAGATTCTATTTCTTTGTCATTCAAATCACAAGCCACTGAAAGCTTTGCTGTGTGCCTCCCTTTCACTCCACAAAACCCAGAGTGTTTCAGTAACTAAAAGACTGTGACTTTCATCCTGTCACAATCTACTGACTTTGATTTCTTCCCCATACTTTAAACCACCTCTTCCTGGTTGGTTAACTAGCTGTAGTCCAAACTGGGCAAATGAAGTCCTAGTCCAAAGTATTTCACTACAAGTACTTTGTACTGTTAAAGCACTGGCTGGCCCTGTGATTTCTTAAAGAAGAGACACACAGAACCAAAGCCAGTATGACTTCCTGCCAAGGTATTCTAACTGTGTGTAGATGAAAAACAGAATTGCACTGCAAACACCAAAAGAGTCCACTGTCCTAATTTACACACACAAAACCATGTTGACCGTCAGTACCTCATGTTTATCTTAGCATTTTCACTATAGTTCACTGGAAAATGCAGGGAATAAAAACTGTTCTCAGAAAGAACATTTATCAGCAAAGACATGTATTTCCTAATCAACTCCAGCCTAGGGAAAACTGACCCCTCACGTACAACGTAAGTACATTCATAAATGGGAAAGGGACCCAGGTACAGAGTGATATAAAACCATTAGCTATCAGTAAAATTAGATTAAAAAGAATTCTTCATAGTCAATTCTTTTAGATCAAACCTTTGGGACTGGAAAGATGGTTCAGCGGTTAAGAGCACTTGCTGCTCTTGCAGAGGACCTGGGTTCGATTCCCAGCAACCACATAGCAGCTAACAATCGTCCATAACTCCAGCCCCAGGGGATCTGATGCCCTCTTCTGACCTCCAAGGACAATGCATGACACAAAAGCACATACCTGCATGCAGGCAATACACTCATACACATTAAACAAAAATAATAAATATTTGTTTAAAAGACTAAGAATCCTATGACAAAAAAGATGCCTGTCCTCTGAAATCTCTGAATATCTCCTCCCACCCCAGGGTTTACTCTGAATCTCTGTATACCTCTCCCCCGACCCTGCCCGCACATTTCACTCCTTTCTGTAAAATTACAACTCACGTGGTGCTTTCCTCCAGACCATTTGCCATAATGCTCCATTTCCTCCACCAACTCATCACAGGCTTTTTCAGAAAATATGGGAAACCAAAAGACATCTGGGCAAGGCTGTAAGACAGCACCACATTAGAAGATATAGCAGCCATCTCAGTAAGTCAGTAATAGCTCTTGTTATTTATACATTTTTAAACAATCTTGCCTGGAAAATAGTATACCACAGTTTAATTGATAGTATTATTTTCCTTTCTCTTGATATATTAAAAAATGTTGTATCTCAGAATTGATGATTCCTCAGTCTTGAAAATATAATTTGAGCAATAGTTTTGAACACTGAAGTCTATCTTTAAATAGATCATTCTAAGACAAGGCTTTAAGAAAGAAAATTGAATGTTCTTCAAAAATAAGCTTCCATTCAAAAGTCTGTGCCCCAGGTCTGTTAACGGGCTAAGTCCTTTACTCTGGGCTGGAGAGATGGCTCAGCGCTGGTGGCTCTTAGAGGACCTAGGTTCAGTTCCCAGCCCTCCACATGGAGGCTAACATTGTCTTGTAACTCCAGTTCTAGGGCATCCAACATCCTCTTCTGGCCTTTACAAGGGTACACTTGCATATGTGCAGACAAACCCCTCACACACATAAAATATAAATAAAATAAAGTAGTTCCTTGGTTTGAAGAAGTTACAGCACTCAGTGACATGCCCGTATGTTTTTTTGAAAAATGGTAAAATCTTAGTGCTAAGCTCCATTTTTACAGAAAAGCTGCAAGGAAAACAACTGAATTGACCTAAACGATTGTTTCTTCACTATTTACATTTTTCATGAAAATGGTATTGCTTAAGTAAGAGTTTCTGGAAATTATAGTAAGAATGCTCTACATGTCACAATTATTAATACAAACCTGCTCAACTATATTCTCAGTGAAAATCTTTGAATAATCACGGTTTATATACTTTTCCTTCCAGTCCTGAGAAAAACAGAGTTGCATATATTAAAACAAATGACTTCATAACTATTGCTTTGGAAATTGAAGCATGTATACATTGTAGAAATTATTCAAACCATTGATATGTATATTGGACAAAATACTAATCTTCAGATTGATTTATTTTTTTTCAATCTTTGCCTGATTCTGGGATGCTCACATCATTCCATGAAACAAAACTTTTTATTTATGAAGTTTCACATCTCAGGCTATTAAAGTTGAGTACTGCATTTTAACAGCTACCATTTGGGTGCACTATTTATGCATACATACAGGAGAAATTAAACAATATATCTTGGAGGCTGGATTTCAGAGGAGCTGGAAGTGTACAGTGAGCATTTTAACAGCTACCATTTGGGTGCACTATTTATGCATACATACAGGAGCAATTAAACAATATATCTTGGAGGCTGGATTTCAGAGGAGCTGGAAGTGCACAGTGGCATTTTATACACTGTTCTTAGTTCTGCATATGCTTATGTGCAACTTATTTCTGATGCAGAGAAACCAAAGGGAGCCAATTCCTTTAACCAATGTTATTTATATGTAGCATATAAGGCTCAGATGTCTGTGTTATTTCAGTATTTGAGAACGTTATTTATATGTAGCATATAAGGCTCAGATGTCTGTGTTATTTCAGTATTTTCTCTAATTATCAGTTTTCAATTTCTAATTTGAAGGAAAATTAGACTAACCTTCCTTAACACTTAAGGACTCTATTTTTCCAATGCATCATTTTTAATTTGTTGGTGTTGAGTCCCTAATACTTGATATTTGGGCACTACTACTTTTCATTTGAGAATACTTTTCTAGTCATTAAGTCAAGTAGTACTTTGTTAAAGTTTTAGAAACTCTGCAAGTGGGAGAATCAAAGTATTCTGCCAGAGAATACCCCAGGCTAGGTCAGCAAATGAACAGAACCAGAGAAAGAACAGGTCATTGATGTCCCACTCTCCTGCCCTCACTTGAAGCTCTCAAGAATTATCTGACTTCTTTCACAAAAATAGACAATTCAGGATCTAATTTAGTTCATCTCACTAGGAAACTTAAGTAACCCTAGCCCTTAAAATATTCCAAAATTCTGAACGGAAGTTCGATGTGTAAATTCTACCCTCTCCGTAAAAAGAAAGCCCTTTTCAGCTCTGGTACATTCAAGATATGAGGGTGAACGAGGCAAAGGAGCTTTTACAAGATAAAATGCCAGAGGGTTTTCTTTTCTATTCCAGAGTATTCAGATGATCAAATTTGCTATTTCTGATAATTCTACTATTGTTCCAAAATCAAAGGCTGCTCACAACAGGTTGCAAAATCAAAGGCTGCTCACAACAGGTGGCCGAGGCTTTGTAATTGAAAACTTTTACTGTTGGCAACAGGGAAAATCTTAAGAAGTGAAGTAACAGAAATGATTATTCAGGAGAGCTTTTTCCACAAATAGCTGTTGCCAACTGTACTGAAGAAAGAGGCCCCTGGAAATCAAAAAAGGGGCTAGTATACTATCTGACTCAAACCTTTACAAAAGGGCTTAAAAGGAAGTAGTTTCTTCACCTAAGTGTTTCCTTTTATGTGAATAAGCTTTATTCTGAATTTTTAAAGAAAAAGGGCTGTGGTCAGTATATAGTTACACAATAGTCAAAAAAATTAACAACATAGAAGATTAACAACAAGGTATTTTCCTAATTTAACTTGTTAATAATTCTTCTTCTTTTGGGGAGGAGGGGTATGCTGGGGATCGAGCCCAATCCATTTTACATGCTAAGGGTGTTTATTACCCCAAGCTATATCTCTAACACTTGACGTCTTTTTCTTCCCTTTTGGAAATATCTATGTTACTCATAAGCATCTTTTTCTAAAATTGTAATTAAAAACTAGATGGTACTTTAGAACATAGAAAGTATAGAAATATAAAATATAGAAATTATGGAAGACCCAAAGAAACATAAATTCTCTCCCTCCAAGGTAATGTGTCTCTTGATTTAAAAGAAAAAAAAAAGGTTTTGGGCAAATTTAGATTTATTATAGATCATGAAATAAAACTATACCGATTAAAGCACATTTATCAAGTTTCACATTATTGTTTGATTTGCTTCTAGTGACAGCTATAGGAAAGTAAAGCTATAACAAAACTGAACATGAAACGTACCACAGGGTTTTCAAAAATCTGCCACAGGTCATTGTTATAATGGGAAGTGTTGTAATTAGCAGTTGATAGCAGCCGTCCAAATTCATGTCTGTTAGAAATGTACATAAACACACCCTATGTGCCAGAAAATAGTCATATTAACCTTCAAGCACAAGAACACTCCCAAATTTAATCACAGGAAAAATACATAGAATACTAATTTCAGTTTTAATATTTCATTCATAAACATGCATTTTACTTTTCAGAGAAAATGTGTATGATTGAAAATAAATAAAACCTTTATTACAAATTCAGACAACACACAAAACTAATAGCCAGCACTGGCAGCTGAGAAAAGAGGAAGGCTGGGCTCTTTTTCCCTTTCTCATTGATCCTAGACACAGGTTGGAGGAAAAAAAACAAAAAACAAAAAACCCTGTTTGAAAGAAATGTTCTTGAGACACCAAAGAGCAGTTAAACGTATCTTCTTTTTGGCTTCTTTTCCTTTCAAAGAAAACGTCGCATTTTAAATAAGAATTCAAGACGTCAAGATGGTTTCATCATTCGCTTTCTCTCCTTCATTGTGACCCTTTAAAGACTCAACATGAGAACTCAGCAGGCAGTACAAAGGAGCTGAACAGGATATTTCTAACCCTTGCTCTAAACCAAATAAATACAGCAGAGCCACTGCTGCAAGAATGTCTTTTTATGCCTATTTTGTTGGTAAAAGGATTAGTGATCACCCAGTCAGGAAGTGCCCGTCTCATCTTTAATGGAGCTGTACTCTATACCTACTCTTGTGTCCATAGCACCCCAAACCCTAGAACAATGAGTAAAAAAATTTGGGGTTATTTTTCTCACCTGTTCATTATGAAATGGAAATCATCTCAATGACTGGAGAGCTAACCATTAAGCAATCCCCATCCAAAATCACACACATGCACACATACAGGTAACATTTTAACAAGCTCAATGCAAAGGAAATCCTTTAGGATAATTTACTGTTACTCCAAACAAACACCACATCGACCATAATTACATAAATAAAAGAAAATAAAAATAACACCTTTGGGGGGCTGAACATTTGCAATGTTTCCGGAGTAGGGGAGTCTTTTTCCCTTTGTAAGGTCTAAAACGAAGAGAAGCATTGGGTCAGTCGGTCTGCACACCCATCTGTCAGGCATTTTTTGGTAAATAAAACTAGCAGTGCTGATGGAAAGCTGCCATTCTGTGTCCTTCATTGACAACATGCAGAACAAGCAAAGCTGACAGCGTACATGAAGAGCGCTTTCCCCTTTCCCCTCTGGGTGTTATCGGATTTGGTGAAACACATCCAAGCTCATTCCTTAGCAAAACTTCATTAGACACGTAAGAAAGACAAAGGAAAAATAAGAAGAGGCCATTCCGGATGCGCTGTTGAGTGAAGTCAGCCAAACACGAGCACAAAAACAGTCAAAGGTGCTGAGAATTCCCAATATGGACGCACACAGATCTGTAGGCCAAACGAACACACTGGAACACATGCTGTGTTAAACTAAGAAAAATACTTGCCAACTTTTCTGGTATTTTCAAAAGCCACAAATGCTTAAATTGAGGAATAAAACAATATCTAAAACAGAATCATATAAATATGCTTTATGTATTAAAACATACATATTAAAAATTATTTTCAATAAGCATTTGTTTTATAATAAAAGTAAAACTGTAAAATATTAATGTATCACCTGATTTTTCAATAGATTAAATCAGTCTTATATCCCTAGTGTAGGTGTAAGGAACTTGCTTAAGAACGCAGTATCAATATTATAGGGTACACAGAGAAAATATAGTCATCTATTTCAGAATAAAATTATATGCTTATTAAATGTGTAAAGAATTTCATTCACATTTATTAATGAAAGTAGGTTGAGTTTTCAGTATAGAATTTCAAGTGTGAATAAAGCAAAGCTGATTCTTAATTTATTATTAAAATATTGTTGTTACTTATGAGTCAGTCTAACCTAACAATTAAAAGCTATTTTACAAATGTTCATAAATTATCTCTCCAAAACTAAAGAACCAAAAAAATTGGCTAGTACTTACAAATTAGGAAGGAAAAGGGCATCAAAATACAATGACATACTGACTGGAAAAGCAAGAGACTGAATCTGAACGCTCAAGCGAGCCCGAGCTGAGCATCTTACCATTTCTCTAGCGTTTCGACAGAGAGCCATATCAGGATCCAGCTTATCACGAACAAAATAGTTCCTCTCACTCATCTCTGATCGGAGTGTCTTTCCTTGAATTAAGTACACATTAGCCATGTATGGCACATTCCAAATTCCTCTGAAAGTAGAAAATACATTCCAAAATTCCATGTATACAAAAAGTTTCATGCTTACATTTAACATAAATGCTTTTATATGTTCAAATTGTGCACAAATAAACTACTGAATCAGCATACACATTTAATAATATTTGATGTATATATGAAATTTCTTAGTATACATATAACTAATGAGATTTAGAAGACAAATCTTTATCAAGATAAACTATAATTTAGGTTGTAGCTGTTTGGCATTTGGGGTTTTCCTATCATCCACCATGGGTGCAGTTAGGTCACGAGATTCTATTGTGCAGCATATTTTCTGTTTAATCTTATAAATTTGATATCAAAAGTAAAGGCACATCTTCAGTAGTGTGCTGGCACTGAGGTGTGGCCCTCTAGGGAGTGCCGGTTAGTGCCAAGACCACAACTGGAAAGAAACATGGAACCTATATAGTACAGGTGTTTATACCACTGAAATTGGTAAACAGTACAGAGGGCAATCCTTCACTCCAGAATCAGCTACACTAGCAAACCCCAGAATACAGGCAAAAATTCCCCTAAATTATATCTCTTGAAATTCATTAAGCCATCTCAAGTCTTGTAGAGAAAGAAGATGCGAAGAATCAGAGCTGTAGGGTTGCTCTGATTCTTCCATCCCCACCGCCTCACTCTGACCCGAGTCCTTCTAGAACTCGAAAAGTTTTGGGACAGTTTTGCCTGGAGGACAGTGTCTCTGATTTTTAGAGAACAGAAAGGGAATATCTTGCCAAAGAAACATAGTTGAGCATTAAAAGATGAATACATTTTGTCTTACTTAGATGAGAAGCAAACAAAAGGCTCTGCACAACTTGTCAGCTAAATGCAGAAATAATCGCAGTGGGCGCAGTGAGTGCTCATTAAAGGCAAAAATTCAGGTGCACATGTGCAGGTCACCAGCCATCGCTCCTCCCTAGCGATGATCTCACTAGCAGGAGCCTCTTCCCCCTTCCCCCTCCCTCACCCTCTCCCTCACACGGTGGACAACAGTGACAGAAGATGAGGCAGAAAGCCACCTGTTCTTCCTGCCTGCCATGCTACCAGCAAACGGGATTCTGCCTCACCCATCCTTCTCTTCACAAGTAAAGCACCTTCCCACCACTCAGCTAAGGTGACTGGTGGGGCATTTTTCTAATCTAAAGGCACTTCATTTTAGGTGTCACAGTATAGAATATATCCGTACTTTTTAACAGGGTTTGGTGGGTTTGAGAACTCAGGCACACTTCATGGAAAAAGAGCTCCATTCTTCCCCAGTATTTCCTCGGTAAAACTGTTTGACCAATTACCTTTTATTTATTTTTTGATACAGCTTTCACTATGTAGAACAAGTTGGCCTGCAATTCACAGAGATCCACTGGCTTCTGCCTCCAGAGTGCTGGATTACAGTCGAGCACCACCATACACAGCAACGTCTACTTTTTCATTTAGGAACTATCAACTTCTACCTCAAGTAAATATCACTTATACATGCACTTTGGAGCATTTATATATTTGAAACCTCTAGATGTGGAAATCAAATATTGGCGAAGTTTCCTATCATTTTACACCTATGATTAACAATCACAGAGAGGGACCCCATTCCCCCCCACCCCCCAAAAACTTATGCAGTTGGGAATATTAGAAAATTTTGGCTTTCTATATTATTATTTTTTGCTTATTTATAAATCTAAATGCAATTAAGACAAGCCATAGACAAGGCATTTCAACTAAATTGCCTTCTAAAACTTTAAGTGAAAGAGTATTGCTCTCTACCACCCACACACTTTCACACACTGAGTTTGTTCCTATAAAGATTTAGATTTTTTTAATTTTAAGAAAATACTTGGAGCTGAAGAGATGGCTCAATGGTTAAGAGCACTGGCTGCTCTTGCAGAGGCCCTGGATTCAAATCCTAGCACATGGCAGCTAACAACTGTCCAAGGGATCCAGCACCCTCTTCTAATCACTGCAGGCATTGCACATCATGGGTGTACTCAGGTACATGCAGGTAATACACTCATATACACAAAATAAAAATAATAAATAAAATATTACAGAAAATACTTGTTTTATATAACTATGTCAATACTCTAAATGGTCTCCAGTTTTCAAATTTCCATTAAACACAATGAAGAGAGATAAAGAAAGTTTTCAGGTAATATTGATGAGCTCCAATCTTTACTGTATCATACGAAAAAATTAAATCAAGGGACTCACACTCTGCTCCCCTGGACGATATCCACATAATCTTCGGAGCGCGCATAGTACCCATCAGGGCTCAGGGCTCCCCAGAAGTTGGACCACAACTTTCCATGTCTTGTTACAAGAGGGGCAATGATCTTCCTAAAGAGAGGGATGCCCACACCATTATTTATTTTTAAATGACCAGAGTTCTGTGTTTTGCAAACACAATGAAGTGCATTTAACACCACACAAATAATGGCCCCAAAGACATGTCATCCCAACATGTTTTCTTCAATGGATACACTACAAATGCTCAGTCACGTTCCTTAAAAAGAGTGACAAAAAGGAGAAAGCCATTGAAAATGCTAACAAAACACTGAAATGATTTAAAGTGCCTCAGTTATACCCAATAGAGTGAAACCCCTTAATTACTTCAGCATATGTAAATTAAATTCCGATGTTTAACTGGCAATCAGAACACTCTAATATATTAAGGTAGCCAAAGAGTATGTGTGGACTGAAAAACAATGCTTGCAGATAGGCTGAGACACTGAAAGGACAGCACTCCTAAGATGAAGCCCTCAATCGCCCTATCTGCCTCCAGTATTTTGTGACTTTTAAAATGGATTGTGGTTCTAAGTTCACCTGGGAGCAATGGATACTTTGGTCCTCTCCCTTTCACTTTAGAAAACAAAATAGAGGGTGCTTGTCCAAAATTGAAACAACCCTTCAAAGTTTACGTTCAAATCTAACGGCTACTGTGATGATGCCGTGGTGGGACTCTCAGGAGGTCACCAGTGGTCAGTCCTTAACTTCCGAGCTCCGCACTTCTCTTTCTCCCCCTCTCCCGGTTTCCCCGCCCCCCTTTCATGCTCCTGCCCTCCCCTGTGTTCTTCCTCTTTGTACTGTCTCCTAGGGTGCTACAATGCAGCAAGGCAGGCCCTAGGGACTCCCTGGATCTTGGACCTCCCAGCCAAGTCTGTGAACCAAATAAAATTCTATTAAAATTTACCCAGTCTGGTTACCGGCTGGTTTTTTCTTAGCCACAGCAAACAGACACAGTGACAGTATGTTGTCTTACTACCTATTTGGAAAGCGGTCCTTTTTAGATAAACAAAATACAAATTTCAAACATGTCAAAGTCTCCCCTAATTTAGAATATCTACATTTTCCAAATGAGTAAACAAAACCTAGTGTTCTTCTACAACAGATTTTAAAATGCAGTGGTTTTTCACCTCTACTAATTAACATGAAGCAAATTTTTATGCTTCTTCCTCAAATATAACTCATTTTTTAAAAAATTTAACTTTTTTTGTGTGTGTTTCATACAGAACATCCCAAATAATCTTATTCATCTATATACCCACATCCCAAATGGCACCCCCCATAGCCCCCCCAACCCGAGCCCATATACTCTGTCACCCCTGTTACTGTCTACTGTGTTGTTGGTGCCCCCCAGTCATTCCCCAGAGCTTGTTCATCTGCTGTATCCAGTCAGTCTGTCTAAAGTTCCTTGTCTTAGGAAGAACAGCTGTTCCTCATCTAGCAGCAATCAGTTGTCAATATTCCTTTAGATAAGATTGGAGTCTGCTATTCAATTTCCCAGTTCTATGCAGGGTTACTGTCTGGGAGTCTCTTGGGCCACCTTGGCCAACAACTCAAAGGAAGGTATCTTCTGTCTGGTCTTGTTTCTTGTTATGTGTCTTTAGCTATACACAAGGACTCTTAAAGAATTACATTGATCCCTTTAATCTTTGGTTATACTTTCCTTTTGGGTGTTGAAGACCATGCAGTTGGCCCAGATAAACCAATTTATTTTTACTCTTTAGGTCATTTGAGGATCTGTCCCCCAGGGAGGGCTTGGGAGGAGCCCCTGGCTCCTTCCTTTTACCAGTTCTGCCTATGTGAAGATAAGTCAAAGGTCCTGCTCGACCATGGCTGGCTTCACTTGGAAGTATGGAGGAAATGTTTCCTCTGTGTTAACCCTCCTCTTTGTAGACTAGACACTGATTCAAATCCATTTGGTGGGGTCTCCATGGCCTCCTTGATTAAGAGGACAGGGGACTCTCCACAGTTACAGGACATTTTGAGAGATGCTCAGAGTCCCCTGGAGCTTAGTCGACCTAGGAGGGCAAGGAGGAAAAACTGTCCTTTATGTCCCTCTGACCAAATTAATATAGGCCTCAAAGTATGGCTGTTAGACATCCAAGAAGGTTAGTTCCACCAGTCTGGTACACTTAATTACTATGTGCTATGTAAATAAAGCTTGGTCAAAGACCAAATGTTCTCAGATAAACTCTGAATAGACATATATTATATTCCTTGAGCTAGTTGTCTGTATATTTTTGTCAGTAGGCTGTTCAATTAATACGGTTCTCGCTCTCTTTTTTTAATCTGTATGTGTGTATTGCCTGCATGTATGTAAGTGCACCTGTGTCATGCAATGCCCTCAGAGGTCAGAAGAGGCCCCCGGATTCCCATGAACTGGAGTTACAGACAGTTGTTGGCTGCCATGTGGGTGCTGGGATTCGAATCTGGGTCTTCTGCAAGAACAACCAGTGTTCCTAACCACTGATCCATTTCTCCACCACCACCCCCCACCTCGGTCTGGATTTTAAAATTCACTAGGCATTATTTATCTCTCGCATTGTCTCACCCCTCCATCATGGTTTTCCTACTTCAGGTGCCCCCATTTCCCCCCTTTCTCCCTTAATAATACCCTTCTCCTATGGTCCTCCCTCTCTTGAGCTCCCTTTCCCTTTATTCCCAAGGTTCCTTGTATGACCTGCCCTCACTGAAATCTACCTGGTAATTTTATATCCATGCTCAGGTGCCAAGGATTTCAGAAAGTAACCAACTGTGACTAGTAATAATCAGATACACAGAGATTAGAGATGCATGTGCAAACGTGTTAGTAGCATTAAAAAATGAGTTTTTCTGTATAAAACACTATATTTTAAAATGAAACGGAGATATTTTTTAAAGGTTAAAACCTCATTCAATTTTATGTCTTATAGGGTTTACACTGAGTTCAATATTGTGTAACTGTATTAATTCAACTGTGAACCTAAAAATTTACAGCCAATGTTGAAAGAGATGTATCTTTGCTCTGGAAATTGTTATTGTTAATGCTGTAATGAATTGCTTCTTTTAATCATGTGGTTATTAAATAAATAATTTTAAAAAATGAGGGGCTGGCGAGATGGCTCAGTGGTTAAGAGCACTGACTGCTGTTGCAGAGGACCCGGGTTCGATTCCCAGCACGTACATGACAGTTACGAACCGTCCTTAAATCCAGTTCCAGGGGAACCAAAGCCCTCTTCTGACCTCTGTGGCACTGCATGACACGGGAACAGTCACATACATGCAGGCAATACACTCATACACATAAAATAAAAATAATAAATAAAATAAAATAAATAAAATGCAGTGGTGCCTCGGAATTTAAGAAAAGCTCACACATGGGGCCTCCTCCCTGAAAACTAACTCTAATGGTATCAGAAGATAGTATGCAAGCTGCCAAGGGAGAAAACCAGCCAATGATTCAACCCAGCAAAATACCTCTATTGATGCAATACTAGCCCTTTTACTTTAAGAGTAATCAACAGTTGACTAATTGAACTTAGGGCCCACTGGATGGAAAGCAATCATGCCTGGTACTGTAAACACAGCCAAGCACACCTGATTGGAGAGGTCACGGACTCTCGAGAAGAACCTACTACTGGCACTTTCCTAAACCAATGTAAATTTCTTATTTTATTCTAAATACTTTTCCCTTATCCCTATATTCACATTTACGTGTAGCTCTAACAACTCATCAAAGAAGTCTCTTTATGCAGCAGATGGAGACTATCACAAAGTTCTGTAACTGATGAAAATGCAGACAATAAGTGGCGCCTAGTCCCAACTGATACATCTACAATGCAAGGCCTACACCTAAGGCTCAGGGAACATCAAGACGAGGGGACGGAAAGACTGTAAGAACAGGATCCCTCTTGGCAGATAATGCACTCTAGATGTTACAGGGAAGCTGCACACATGAAAGCTCAACAGTAGGGGCCTAACAAGATCTGCGTGATGACACCACCAGTTGACATGCCACTGTGAACGGAAAAACTTCAAAGGCTGTAACTGATGAAAATGCAGACAATAAGTGGCGCCTAGTCCCAACTGATACATGTACAATGCAAGGTCTACACCTAAGGCTCAGGGAACATCAAGACTGTAAGAACAGGGTCCCTCTTGGCAGATAATGCATTCTAGATGTTACAGGGAAGCTGCACGCATGAAAGCTCAACAGTAGGGGCCTAACAAGATCTGCATGGTGACACCACCAGTTGACATGCCACTGTGAATGGAAAAACTTCAAAGGCGCCCACCCCAGATGAAGACTTACAAGCAATGAACAGATGCTGAGGAATCATTTTTTCCAGGGACTCGCTCCCTGTGAGGTTATCTAATCCCAGTGGGCAGCCCTAAACAAATACACAGTGGAGCACCACTAAATGAACTCAGTGCACTCTGTGTGTGTGCGTGTGTGTGTGTGCGTGTGCCATGGAAAAACTTCAAAGGCGCCCACCCCAGATGAAGACTTACAAGCAATGAACAGATGCTGAGGAATCATTTTTTCCAGGGACTCGCTCCCTGTGAGGTTATCTAATCCCAGTGGGCAGCCCTAAACAAATACACAGTGGAGCACCACTAAATGAACTCAGTGCACTCTGTGTGTGTGCGTGTGTGTGTGTGCGTGTGCCTGTGTATGTCAAATACACAGTGGAGCACCACTAAATGAACTCAGTGCACTCTGTGTGTGTGTGCGTGTGTGTGTGTGTGTGCGTGTGCCTGTGTGTGCATGTGTGGGTGCGTATGCATGTGTATGTGTGTTTATTCGTGTGTGCATGTGTGTATGCACGTTGTGCGTGTGCGTGTGCCTGTGTGTGCATGTGTGGGTGCGTATGCATGTGTACGTGTTTATTCGTGTGTGCATGTGTGTATGCACGTGTGTGCATGTGCGTGTATGTGCCTGTGTGCGTGTGTGCATGCGCCTGTGTATGTGTGTATGCGTGTGCGTGCATGCGTGTGTGCGTATGTGCGCGTGTGTGTATGTGTGTGTGTGAGCGTGTGTGTGCATCTGCATGTGTATGTGTGTGCAATGTGCCTGTGTGCGTGTGTGCATGCGCCTGTGTATGTGTGTATGCGTGTGTGTGCACGCGTGTGTGCGTATGTGCGCGTGTGTGTATGTGTGTGCGTGAGCGTGTGTGTGCATCTGCATGTGTATGTGTGTGCGTGTGCGCGTGTGTGTAAGTAACAATAACAATCAAGGAAGAGGACAAGAAATGAACAGGGAGTGGAGGGACAGCGAAGAGTTGGAGGGGACCAGGAGAGGTAGAAGTAATGCAAATACTGTACCCATCTATGAAATTCTCAAAACAACTTTAAAAACTGTGATTATGCACACTTTGAAAGACATGACTTTAACTCGGACACTTTGTAAAGCACTGAGCAATGCTAATTTAATAGATTTTATATCAAACTGTTTGCACAAAATATTTTTATGATATAAGTGAAGAAAAAGTGATTTTTGCATGAATAGTTTCTATATCAACTATTAGAAGATAAATTCTCAATATGCATGCTTCCCAATTCCTACAAGATCTAATAAATTGAACTTTGACACTGTGAAAAGAGAAAAGGAAAGAAAGGTTCACACAGTTCTTCTAAGGAGCTTATGTACCAAACATTCCATACAAAACCCTAATTTTACAGTGCCCCAGTCCTGTGAAGATCAGCTGGTAACTTTCTTGTACATGCACAAATATGCAATAAATACGTAAAATATATATCATATCATGCCCATGTTTTATGAGCCCATATCATGTTTTATGAGCCCCAAATATCTGGTTTTGATTTTTAGAGTAACTAGTATATCAGAAACAATAGTATAAATTAGATACATGTAAATATAGATTAGGGAGTGATAAGTCAATGTCCGTAACCGACAACACCAAACATCTAACAGTAAAACGTCTTATAATTTATAAACTCTGTTGCCTCTTGAATTGTCAGACTAAGAAAGAGGGAAAACAGAAATCTGCCTGCTGCTTGCCTGGGTGTTTTTAAGAATGGAAAATGTAAGGATGGTGCTGAAGGGGAATGAGCTGTCTTACACCAAAGGATTAAATCTGAAGCAAAGAAATAAATGGCAGAAACAGAGAAGCCGATACACTAGAAAGATGTATCCTACTTCCTGTCGCTCTACCTTGCAGTCAAGTCTTCTGAATCTCACAGCAGCCTGGTCATGAATAGAAACTTCATGCTTAGACACAGCAAGGACCAGAGGGACCACAGGAACCCAAGCATTTGACAACAAAGGGATCCTGACACTGGAAACAAGTTCTTTCACTGACTTTTAAAGAGGCAATGACTCAAAATGGCAAGTGAGTTTCTTTTGAAACACATTTTTTTAGACCATTTAAACTTTAGATTAATATTAAGGAAAATCTATGTTAAATATCTGGTATGAGTTACTTCACTAAGATAACTATTAAGTAACTACACAAAGTGTCACAAAATAAACCTGTCTTTGCTCGTTTTAATTGTCAACCTGATCTAACAGCATTATCAGGGTAGAGTCTTAATGAGGAATTATGAGTGAGATTGGCCTGTGGGCATGTCTATAGGAGTTGTCTCAATTGTTAACTGATGTAGGCAGATATAGCCCACTGTGGGTGCCTGCATTCCCTAGGCAGAGGATCCTGAACTATGAAGGAGAGGACAAAGTTAGCTGAGAGCAAGCAGGGATCTGTGCACTCATTCTATCACTGTTCTCTCCTGTGGATGTGCTTCTGTAAGTTCCTGCCTTGATCCCCACAATAACATACTACAACCTGGAATCATAAGACAAATAAAGCCTTTCTTCCTCTGCTTTTTGCAAGGGTGTCTGTTAGCAACAGAAATGAAACCGGAATCCCACCTACACACAGTGAAAGTCTATGTGCATTGCACGACACCACATTCCCACCAAAGTATGAAGAAATAAAGCATATTTTAAAAATTACTAAATTCAGGACTGGAGAGATGACTCAGCGGTTAAGAGTGGGGGGGGCCTCCTCTTGCAGAGGACCTCAGTTTGATTCCCAGCACCCACATGGCGGCTAATGACTGTCTTTAACTCCACTTCCAGGGAAATCAACGCCCTCTTCCAACGTCTGCGAGCATTGCACAACATAGGCATACTTACCTACATACAAGCAATACACTTGTGCACAAAAAATAAAAATAATAAATATTTTTAAAATTAGTACTTCCACGAGGTTTTATGAGTTTGAGGAAAATTTATTCTGCCCCATATCTGCTTCTCGAAGCCAAATGATCAAAACCTTAATCAAATATTTTGAAAAACTGCAAATTATACGTAGTTGACAGGTTAAGCATTTCTGGATGCTTACACCATGGCTGTGCATGTGAAATATTAATGATGTGCTTCAGGTTTTGAAGTTAAAAACGAAATTTTTAAATTGAGCTCCTAGTGGCCTTTCCGCTATACACGGGATGAGTTCATGTAGCGTGATGGATTCCTATATATCTACTTAATAAATTAAAAGGTTGTCTGATATCTTACCTTCTGGACCTTCTATTTATTATGAGAAATAACTGTGTTGATGCATGTAAGCATATTTTAAACTTGACACTTAATGAGTACTCAGGAAGGTGCTTGTTTCATTTCAATTCAGTTCAGGGACAGCAGGGACCTGGTGGGACTCAGCACAACAGTGAACAGAGCTACAGCAGGCTACCAAATGCTGGCACGGCTACAAAGTCCACAGTTAGACCCACAGCCCTCTATGAAATAGCTGGTGAGTTTATGAAATTATACATTTAAAATATCTATAGGGGATAAAACAAAGCTCTCAAATTTACTAGTATCAGGCATCATTATTAAACAGCTTTAAGTAGAAAAATGGACCAAATATCATTGATAAGTCACTTTTGTGAGTCCAACTACTATTAAATGCCTTGGGATCGAAGGCTTTAGAGGAACATGTATAAGGTTCAGAAAATAGCTGAATGTGCCTTACCTCAATGTCCTCAACATAGGTAAGTAGAGTGCGCTCACACAGATGTGGGAAACTGTCATTTTACTAATAAATTCATATTAAATCTTCGTACCTGTTTTGTTCAATCAAAATTTTTAAAGTCCTTGGGTTTGTCAAAACAACATCGGCATCCAAGCTAAAATAATAACCACACTTTTCATCCTGACGGCAGAAGTCCCTGAAGTGAGATGGGAAAGTGAAGCATGAGAGAAAATCCGCAATCCCACATGAAAATATTAGTATAAAGCCTTGCATCAAATAAGGCTGCTCTAGAGTATTTCCAAAATGTCTTAATGTTTAAACAGGGCAGCTGATAAATGCATTTATCCACAGGTGGATCATCACTACAATTTTAGGCCAAGTGAGATATGTATTTTGAGTCACTAAATATTTTAAGATATAAAAATACTTAGGAGCTGGAGGACTGATGGCCAAGAGGGCAACAACGCTTACTATGCTCCATCACCAGAGCTGTAAGAGTACACCACTGGAAGCATTAAGGAAACTAGAAAAGGACCCAAACAGCAATCTGAGGATTGCAGGGTTAGCTCCACCAGCAAGTACCTAGGAAGTAGCAGCCCCTTTTCCGCACAGGGTAACACACAAGTCCTAGAATGCAGCCTCCTAATGGCGATTTCAATGTAGGTCATTTGCAATCACAATCGTATCTGTTTATTTTATTTTATGTGAATGAATGTTTTGCCTGCATGTATGCAAGAACACCATATGCATGCCTAGATCCTTGGGAACTGAGTGTTAGTGGCCAAGTGGGTGCTAGGAACTCTTGGGTCCTCTGGAAGAGCATAAGAGCTCTTAAGCACGAAGCCCGTCTTCAGCGTCAAGTCTCTGTTATCATGCTCAAATTTTCATCTGAAGTTTGGTTCATAGATTGATTAAATATTTTGCCTCGATGTTTAAAGGAAAATGAAAGTGATGACTATGGCCTTTTATGTGTAAAGACATCAGAAAGTTGGCCCTGCTGTTATATCCATGGCACACACGGCACACACATGCAAGCAGGTGTCTCATAACTTTAATAATTTTAGGGAAACCTTTTTTGCCTTAAAGTTCATTTACCATAATAATTTCATTCAATTTAAATGATAACACATACATTCCCATGTTTCGGGCTTCCGCTTGACTCAGATTTTCTTCTGGTCCTACTATTTTTATAGTACTGATTTCATGTTTGGCTTTATCAAAAAACACTTTGATGTCCTTTTCGTGATAAACTTCCTGTAACATATTTTAAATATCAAAAATTAGAGGGAAAATAAGACAATCAGATGCTGAAGTATTCATAAAGATAGCACTTCACAAGGAAAGTGTGATTTCCACAATTAACTTCAGTAACAGAAAACTGTTGTATTTAACCATCACTTGAAAAAAATCACACAAGCACACAGCAACATTCTAAAAACAAAGCTGCTTCAGAATCACTTGAATGTCTGCTCTTAGATAAATCCTGTAATAAACTCTTAAATCTCCTTAATGTAGAAAAAAAAAATTGCTTGTCACCCAAGAATCTTAGACACTTGATGCAAAATCCAGAAAAAAAATCTATTAAATTTAATAGCTATTAATCTGTTATGAATATAAGCAGACACATTGTACAAAATAAAATGTCACAGTATTCTTCAATGCCAGATAGTATAATTAATGACCGCATGAAAAATTTGTGGTGTGGTGGTGTACTCTGTTAATCCTAGCACTCGGGATATAGAGGCAGGCAGATCTCTGGGAGGTTGAGGCCAGCCTGATCTACATAAAGACTCCAACTGGGGCTACAGGGAGGCTCTGTCTCAAAAAAAGTCAAAAAAGGAAAAAGTAACAAAATCATATTGACAGAAAAATAATGGGAAAACATCAATACAAAATTATGAATTTAACATGATTCGGCTGTTCTAAGATTTAGGTCAGATTATCTATCCCTAGCGCATTCTGGAGCTTTCTATGCATCAAATCTCACTGAGCTGAGAGGTTGGCATTTTTCACCACTTGTTAAAGTCAGACCTGCACCAAGTCAATCTTTGAAAAAGGCCATAAAAACTTCCACTGAGGAATAAGTTTATTTAAAAGGAAACAAAGAAATACGTAGAAAAATGCTGACAGAATGACGAGGCTTAAATGATTTGTGGGAGGTGTTTGGGAGGCTGGGAATGCAGACATCTGCAAGTGGGTGGGACCCAGGCTCTCTCCAGGGCAACTTCCTTCCTGATGTGACTGGATTACCCCTGCAAAAAACCCAATGGCCAGTCTATAAAAGAAAGCACCTAACATTAACCAGTACAAAAGAGCACAGTCTCCTCAGCACGTTTCATTAAATATTAAGATGAGCTACCTGAAAATGACAAATATCCAGCACTTTGATCTTAAAGAAACTCTCAAATTCATGTGGTTCAGCCCAATATTAGGGTGCTACTTTAAGTCTGTAAAACACTTAGGTCTACACCCAGTAGGGCAGTAAAACCCTCCACTGGATTTTTTGGCACAAGTGGCATCACCCCAAAATAGTTTTCACATAAAATATTTCTTCCCGAGTACTTACTTTATTATGAATAAAGAGATTAAGTGCTTCTTTTGGATAATCCAGAGTCAACAATATGTCCAAGAATCGAGGTAGGAAAGGGGTTGGTTGTTCAATAAAAACACCTATTGTTACATTTGGATGGACCTATGTTTTGTAGCAAATATAAAACAAATTATGATCAATATAGTTTTATTTTAAATTCTATTCAAGTCTTAATTCATGTCACAGGAAAAACTACTAGACGTTCACTTCAGCAAATCATTAAACTCGGATTACCAAGTGGCAGTTCTCTAACATGTAAATCAGTTTGTGCAGAGCCAATCCTACTGAATCACATCTTATTATAATTTAGATTTATAATTTAAAGAGGAAACTAGCTATCAGAGCTATCCTGAGGACCTGGGGCAGAGCCTCTTTCGGTAACCAGTGCTTTCTGCTCACAACTTTCAAAGAAACGTCTTCAGAACTGAATGATATTTTGAAAATTCTAAAGAAAATATCACAGATCTGAGCCAGGGATGCTGTCTGCTAGGAGAATATATGTCAAGGCTCTAAGGATAGAGGACTGGGAGAGGGAGGAGGAGGAGGAAGGATAGGAGGAAAAGGAGGGAAAGAAAGAACGGAGGGAGGGAGGGAGGGAGGGAAGAACTGACCTCTCTAATCTCATTTTACTGATTTTGTAAAATGATTCTTCATTGTCTTATTTAAGGAAAACTACTTTCACTAATATATTTTATATCTATGTATGTGTTTTCATACATTTTCTTAAATCTACCTTTGGTATGTTTTAGGTGTAATTTCGCTTTTTTGTTCTTTATATGAAAACATTTGAAACATGCATTATATGGCAGTCTTTGTGATGGGCAAGTATATTTTTAATAAGCTACAAGCAAAAAAATCAGCTAAGAATCCTTATCTATATGCAAAAAGACTGAATAAAAACTTCAAACATTTTTTTTATCCTTGAACCCAGAAAGTTTGAGCCAGGCCTGGTGGCTCAGGCCTATTGTCCCAGTACTCACAAGGCAGAGGCAGGCAGATCTATGTGAGTTCAAGGCCAGCCTGGTCTACATAGTGAGTTCCAGGTCAGCTGGGGATGCAGGGAGACCCTGTCTCAAAAAGACCAAAAAAAAAAAAAGGTGGGGGGGAAACACCAAAGAGAAGGATTAATTCTCCTTCCAGAGGACAACATCGCTTTCTGCAAAAATCATCAAGACAAACGATTAAACATCTTAATGGAGCACTTCATTCAAAAATGCTCTGGCCCTCTTTGCAGATAGGAAACATTTAGTTTGTTGTTTCAAAGTCTAGCCCAAAAATATCTTACTTTCAAGTAAAACAGGGCTCTGTTCAGAAGCTCCTGGTACAGACAACTGACTCTTTATCCTCCTTCAGACAGTGATGAGGAGTTTTAGTTTAGGAGTCTGATTGTGCTGGTTGCAGTACTTTGCTCGCCTCTCGACCAGGCAGCCTTTACATCCTGTCCCCAGGACTTCTATTTTTACCCATGATGCTTTGACTCCCCCTGTATGTTGTAGATGCTCAATGAATTAATGGTGAGTTCAATTTTGAACTGTTTGTGCTTTCAAAATAGTTCAAAAGCACAAAAGTATAGACTTTCTAAATCACTGTACTTTACATTATAAATCTATCATCTAATATACAATAGGAACTATAAAATAATTTGCCTTTTTCCTCTAAGTCACTGCATTTTAAGTTCATACAAGTCAATTCCACTTACATCTACTGCAGATAAATCAATTGTGTCAGAGTCACAAAAGGTGCAACCATTTTCCTGCGTCCATGTGTTAGGAACATAGTTTCCAAAGTAATTCAGGAGAATCTAGTAAATAAAGGGTAAACAGTGTGAGCAGAAGCACGTACAACCACGATTCAAAGACTGCTGTCTGTACGGGGACAGTCCCCTAATCCCACTAATGTCTACTACCAACACATGCACACCAAATAAAGCTTTCTGTAGACTACAGATCATTAAGTGCTGTGAAGTATGTCTAGAAGTGTCAAAGTTATAAAATATGCACAGTGTTATTATCTACTGTAAGGAATAATACTGGGAGTGACCATTTTAAAAGTATGTCAGACAAACACACGGTAAATGAGCAAATTTTAGCAAAGCCACATGAGTCATCTGAACAGTCACTTAGTAATGAGATAAATGTGTTTAAAGATCCATTACAGACACCTGCAGTAAATAGGGCAGTGGCGATGTCATCTCATACAAACACGGCACACAAAACAAATACGAAGAAACGGTCATCACCCAGGGACATTAAGTTCTTCCTGGAGACCCGTCTGTCAGCCAGGCTTCAGAGTATTGCTCGGGGCATCGGGAGAGATTAAAAGTCACTCCACAAACCAAGAAGTTAAAATGCTGTGTGTTTACCACCTGACAGGGCACCTCCTGTTTAAAATTCCCTTAAGGATCCACTGGTCAGTGAGGGGGAGAAGATGACTAAGAGAGCTGAGCAAACTAGGATTTTCTCTGAGCCCTAACAGAGCCTGAAAATTTTTTTGGTTTGAGCATTTCAATGGAAATTCTCTTGATGTCACACTCTTAACAGGGAAGCTGCAATTTAGCACTCCCACTGACAGAATGCACCTAAGGCCTCCTTATGCTTAAAGAGTAAGTTTGTCATAATAAAAGGGATATAAAAAGTCCAATATGCTGGGCATGGTAGTCCACCCTTTAATTCCAGCATTCAGCAGGCAGAGGTGTATGTGTAGGGGTGGTGGATAAAGATATTTATGAGACTGAGGACACCCTGGGATAGTCTACATAGTGAGTTCCAGGACAGCTGGGGTTGCAAAGTGAGACCCTGTCTCAAGAAACAAAAAAATAACTAACTAACTAAATAAATATAAATTTAAATAAGTAATTGTCAAATATATTATAGATAGAGTTTAAAATAGATTTTTCTAGCTTTCTAAAGCCCCAAACAGACCACAGATGACGTATTTAGCCAGTGCCACTTTACCAGATTCCTCCCGTCTTTCCATCGTATTGAAAGACAGTTCCATTGTATTGAGACTTTCAATCAAAAGCTGCTGACACCAGTTCACTGTAGATTAAGATGGGAAAGCATTCCTGCTACAGGGATGCGATAGATGTGGCTACATCTAATCTTTGCTAAACCCAAGATAACACGAGACTCAAGAGCAATTGTTCTGGATGACAGAATAATCCAGAAAATGACCTGCCACAGACACGACAGTCCTGAATGGTACTGACAGAGTCAATGGGGCATTTGAACAAAATGGTAACAAA